AAATACAAGGGTACACACAGACATGCAAAAACACAGGCACACACTCACACGTAGTTATTCCAGAATAACTTCTGAGCAGGGATGTGTGTAGACGAGCCCTAGTAGATTTGCTCAAGAGTATGGCTGCCTGCAGCTGCAATGAGAAGGGAGGGCTGGATGTCAGCACACGAGCGGGATGCTGTGCACGCACACACTCTGCAACAGAAGCTGCTAGCGCAGGGTATGGAGGGGAGATCCCTAGAGCCATCGTAGAACCCCATTCTTCCTCTCCCACTAAAAATCTGACCCTGGATACAGCTACTAGCTTTCCCAATGGCTCAGCTCTAGCTGTTCCCTATGTCTTACTGCCACAGCAGCTTTTACTAATAATTGGATTAGGAAAGAAAGGCTCCAGTTATCCCAGTGCCATAGACACAGGCCCAGGCACATTGTTTGCCAGATTGCTTTCAATCACAACAGGATAACATTTTGAAGGGTCAGCCTGTATGGACAGGGATGTGTTTAAAGTTTCATTTTTTTCAAAATACATTGCAACTTCTTGGCTAAGAGCTACAATTGCCCTGCTTAGGAAGAGGGAAACAAACATCCCGCCAATTTAACTTATGCACAAACACATACACACACACAAACACTTGATCCTGACTTCTGCACATCCATCATTTAGCTCAAAAGGTTTTTTTTGTGGAAGAAATGAATTGTTTGTGTATTGTCAGCATTAAGCAGATAGATAAGTATGTAAGCTGGAATGTTATTTCTAAAGTTACTTTAAATATTTGGGTTGTCCACTTAAACTATGTTTAAATAAAGTTAGTATGAATTTCTTCATTTCTTTGATGGCACGATAAAGCCATACTTTCTGTCATTAAGTATATCACAATTTATTGGTCAGGCTGAAACATGACAGGCTAATTAGGATACGAAGTTTTGGGGTTTTATGTAACTACATTTCTAACTTTGTCAGGGACCATCCCTAGACTTCCCAGCTTTTTTTGCAAGGGAGGGGAGCAGCTGTGTGACTAAACACCTGTAATTTAGGGTTAGAAGATTCCTGACAAAGTAAGCCTTAAATCAGGTGCCCTCATCAACCAGTTCTGCCTATACCACTGTTTCGGGGGCTGTTAGAAGACCATATCTCTGTGATAGACAGTTTTATTTCCTGTTTGTGGGATATGAACTTGGCAGCAATGGAGCAGAGCCCCAAAGCTTCTGTACTTGGAAAACTTGGGTTTAAAGCATTAATGGACAGAAACAGACTCTGAGGCTATGTACTAACCAGATTACCACTTGTGTTACGATCATCTGGTTTTGTTGAACAGATACTTAGGACTTGTCTACTCAGAGACACAGAGAAAAATTAGGAATCAAACTCAGAGGTCAATTTAATGCTCTTATATGCATTAAACTCTTGTGCAGATGCACGCTTTTAGAACCATAGTGGTCCGTAACTTAATCCTTTAATTTGTATGCGTTTGCTACACAGCTTTGATTCCTCTGAATTTTCCCAAGTTGCTCCTGAAGACAAGGCTCATCAAAGTTTTTCTACACTCAAGTTGCAACAGGCTATGATGGTGTTTGAATGTAAAGAATAACACTTGCTTCTGAACTATTTAATCATTACAAAGCAAAAGGGTATTGTTCCCGATTAGCTTACCTCACTTAGAGGTCTTCTGTACAAGTCATTATGATGTAAGCTAAAGCATGCACTTACTGTGTGTTAACAACTCTACATACACCACCCGAACAGGCCTAACGGGGTGTGGGGGAAAGAACAATTTATACTCTATTAGACATGTAGCATAGGTTCACCAAGCTGCAACTACATTAATACATAAAATAACCCAACAAGTACACAGTACAGGAAACCACTAACACCAAAAGCAAAGATACTTTAAGCACAAACTTGTCTTATCGCACTCCAATTACTTGATTGGTGCACCCAGTTTAGAAACCTGGCAACCCCAGATTCCTTTTAACAACTAGGGAATGGAAGAGAAGGAAGACTCACTTTGAGAACAGCTTAGATTTTACAGAGATAAGTTTGTTCCCCCAGATACCTCTGTTACATGGGACAGAGGGAAAATCTAGGTTTAGAAGCTCCTATTTAGCTATATAAAGTTAATGAGATTAATCCAGACTCTACTACCCATTGGGACTGTCCATATAGGAAGTTGGTATTAGGAGATGTGAATTCGGATTACTCTATATTTCCTTCCTATGCAGTGGAGCTTTTAAGAGACGCTAATTCACCTTCATAGCACGTCTACTAACCAGAAACCAGGCTCCTCTTTTTATTAAAGAATCACACAATGGCTGAGGTTGGAAGGGACCTCTGGAGGTCATCTGGTCCAACCCCCCTGCTCAAGCAGGGACACCCAGAGCAGGCTGCCCAGGACTGTGTCCAGATGGCTTTTGAGTATCTCCAAGGATGGAGACTCCACAGCCTCCCTGGGCAACCTGTGCCAGTGCTTGGTCACCCTCACAGGGAAAAAGTGTTTCCTGATGTTCAGAGGGAACCTCCTGTGCTTCAGTTTGTGACCATTGTCTCTGGTCCTGTCACTGGGCACCACTGGGAAGAGCCTGGCTCTGAAAAACTGTGTACACATTTACTTGGGAACTACAGACAGACTCTCGAGGTGTAAGGCCAGGAGTAAGCTACCACAAGGTAAGCCTGACTGTGAACACACTTCTGATATGCCAGTTATATTGCAGCAACTGCCTGCACACATATACTTACCACGGGGTAAACATGAGGAATTTTATTCCTCAGAGAGGAAAAAGTTCTCACACCTTCTGAGCTCTGGTTTAAACAAAACACATGTAAACCCTTAAGGTACCATTCCTCTGACCAAGCACAGATTATAATGTCTGAACTAGTCATCCAGACATCTTCTGCAGCGAGGAAGCAGCCAGCTCCTGTGTTGTGGAAGTATCTACTCATCAGATAGGAACACAACTAAAACTCACCAAAAAACCCCCAAGTCTGTAAATCAGGAAGCACCTATTTCTCTCCAGTGACTGTTAACCCTAGAGCACCACCCTAGATGCATCAAGGGTGCAATTTGTTCTATGTACTGGGAAGTACAGTGCTACAGAATGCTCTTCAAACACTTTGTTTACATGACTCTAAGCTTAGCACCATTAAGATAGGAGCTTTCTGAGAAAACTTTCATCAGCTGCCTATCGCATCTGGTTGTTACAGCAAGACAAAGACAGGAACATACCAAGAGGTGCACCCACGTTGGCTCATCTGGGTTTAACAGTAAACTTTTCTGGCATCGTCCTACAGAATGAAGGAAAACATTCCTACACCAAGTTCCTAGTTTAAAGTATGAATTTAAATCTTAACTGAGCTATTTAAGCTACACTGGCTTTGTGTTGAAATAATGCAGTCTATCAGTTAGCCACAACTCTGAAGAGACACAGTAATTCTCATAGTTTCTGATCATAGTATTAAAGGAAACTCTCAGCATCACATGGTATTTGCAGCAGTTTAAGGTAAACTAAACAGGGGAAACCCCAGTTCCCATTCCATCCTCAGTCACAAGTCTTCTCTTCCTGCTTTGTAGGAATCACCCATGCAACTGGGAAGCCACCAAGCCAACAGAAAACCATCTTGGGCAGGTGACCAACTTCATGTGCTATTTTTTTTTTTTAAGGTGTGACTAGAGGTGACAGAAGTTTCAGGATTGTTTCTAAACCTGCTCCTCTGTATCAAGAAAAACTAACACTTGGAATTTGTTTCTCTGGAGCCTTAAACTGAATTTAAGCTCAGTCTCCCACTCTGCAAGACAAGCACTATCCATTTTGTTAAGTTTGGAGCCATAGCTGTCTCCAGGGATGTTGTGTGCAATAACTTTTGTATTACTTGACAAACTAGAATAATATAAAATCAGCCTCAAGGATCCTCCCCACAAGCACTTAAGCAATTCTCACCAGATCTACAAGGTATCTGGTATCCCCTTTCTCTATATGTATCTAATTGACTTTTGAATAGGAGATTAAAAGTTAAGGGTCTGTGAGCATGTTTCTAAAACTTGTTGAGAGTGCACCAGTCACAAGCCACCCCTCAGCCACACAGTTCAAGAACTGAGATAGACCATGATATTTCTGGAATGGTAGTAAATTCAGAGAAACCAGGATGACAACATATTCAATAATTGAAGTAGAACTCTACAAGTCCCGAAACTTGCTTTTCGAAGTAAGCCTGTAACCATTGTAAATTGGCATGATGCTTTATGGAAACTTGGTATTACTGGTCAGCTTCTTATTTTTCCTTTTCTGTCAGGGTAGTAAGTGTCTTGAGTATCAGTATATCAAACTTTCAAAGTTGCTTCTTAGTCCAAGACAGCAATACAGATTGAGACATCTTAGAAAAACAAATGTGCATTAAAATGATGCTATGTAATAGAATGAAATTTGCTGTACTTGCTCTTAGTGACTTTGCTGTAAGAACATGGGCGCTAATGACTTCCCCGGAGCCAAATTAAGAGGCTTTTTCAAAGAGCATGGAATTTGGAGTAAGGGGTAAACAGTTTCTTCTACTTTAATTTCTAAACAGGCTTAGTTAACAACACTGTTCTCCATACAGACACCAATTTTTATTTTATATGTATGCTATATATATATATGTGCAGTAATAACTACAGCTGTACTGAAACTACATTTACTTTTTAATTCACTAAAACTGTGTCCACACCAGGTCATTTTTAGGTAGATCAAAATGAAACTCCATAGAAAACCAAAATGAATATTCTTTAAAAGCTCTTTGACCAGTTACTTCATCAATGAGTTTAGAAATGACAGAAAACTGTCAGCTCCTACAGCCTAATTTCACAGTACTTACTGATAGACTTAAGAGATTACACTGTAAACCATGTAGCTGACAAAGTGGATACAGGAATTGAGCAATAAGTATTTGAACTGTGTTGATACTAAAGAGCTATGGAACAGGCACAAGTAGTTTGCATTAGTTTAGTCTTTAAAGGAAGCATTCCAATCACTGTTTTAAGGAAAAGGTGGCTCACTTTAATAACCACAGGCATTGGTCACTATTTAACAAGACATTCTAAAAAAGTAATCACAATTTGCCCAATAGTTTACAGGTGGATGGTATACATTAAGATACAGAGGTAGAAGTTCACTTTTACAATGCTTCACTAATACAGATTACCAAATTCAAGGCACAAAATTGTTCGCTTTACAAAAAATACTGTAAAAGTGTCATCTGCTGTTCTACAATGTGAGTACAACTCAAAAAGAAATCTTTACACCCTTCCATATTCTGCATGTAGAGTTGCATCAGGCATTATTCTATTTTTCCTTTGCTAATAATTGGCATATGACCAGCACTTACATAAACAGTTTGTATCTCAGCTGAGTTGCTTTGTCTTGTAGGCACAAGTCCAGTTACAGAAATTTAATACAACAGCTTCCTCATGGGGGTAGGAGAACTCTGTCGGAAGTAAGAATGAGGAGGAAGAAAAGAAACATAGTCCGCAACAGCAGATTGGACTCTGACGTATAGAGGGAAAGAGAACAGATCATATTTCAAATCAAGTGACTTGAAAAAAGTCAGTTTAAATCATTGACCGCATTCCTAGAAAACCAGATGCCCAGTACAAATTTGCTCTGAGAGTATTTGAGACATTCACTTGCCTTTGAATTGGCAGAGATTTACAAATTTTTTTATCTTTGTTTAAATAGAACACACACAGTTGCTACAAAAGAGAATTACACCACAATTTGGCCATGTGTCCTTTAGAGAGCTTGGGTGAACAAGTGAAGCGATGCATTCAGAAACTGTCCTTGAATTTGCTAAAAGGCCATGAGCAGTAGCTTAAATCTCAAGATTTTCCCCCCTCCCCTTTCCCAAGTAACATAGGGAAAGACAAACAATTTCTGAAACATCGCATCTTCTAGTTGGAGACAGCTCTTACAAGCCTTGGCAGGCTGAGGAAGAGATATCAGACAGTGCATCCCTACAACAAGTAGTATGACTAGTTTACTGTACATACAGTGATATTCTAAAGGACAATGGTGGCAGCTACATTGTAAATTCACTTTGCTTACCTATCACATTTTCCAAGTACCCTAGTCAGTTTTATTTACAGTATATAAAAATCCATTGATTTTTAGAGTTCAATACACAAGTTTAGGACCCAAGAGAATGCCACAATAAGATGTTGACATTTGCATCTGTCAGATGCAAGTGCACTTCGCAATTCAGTCATGTAACATTATTGTAATCACCTATAAATGTTAGTCCATCCAGAACAGTGTTAAATTCCATTTTTTGCTTCATTGTTGTTTGTAGCCTGTTTCCTTTGAGCAATGAAAGGGTACATACACTTGTCTGCTCCCAAAAATCGGTACATGCATACAACTGCTTCAAAGGGCAGAATACTGTGAAAAAGAGTTTATAAAATTGTTAGAAGACAGCATAAAACAAAACCTCTGCTTACACTATGTACTTAGTCTCCTTAAAAGCCACATAATAGCTATTGGAGAGGCTTCTTAAGAGTCTTAAAGGATTTTATTTCACAGGGATACTTACAGAAAGAATTGAAATTCTAGAGTCCCAACCACACAGGCAAGCAGAAAGGAAGAAAAGGCTACTTATTCACATGCCTCCAAACTTAGACCAGATTTTCTGCTGCTTCTTTACAAGCAGTGTGATAGCTTGTTTTAAAGAGGTGGGGGTGGCAAGGGCATCACAGAAGGCCTACTAAAAGTAAAGCATCTCTGCAAAGCCACATCAGCAGAGGTCATCAGACATTTAAGATATTCTTTACTGTGGGATTAGTGTTAGTTAATGCCATTCTTTGATCACCAGATGTCTAACAACCTTGACTTATATTCTAAACTTAATCATCCATCCTCAAAAAGAAAGGCCTGAAGTAAAGAGAGCAATTTCCTTTTTCCTCCTCCAGTTAAAATTCCAAGAGGTGACTATGTGAAGGATACCTGGCTACAGACCCTCCCCTCCTTCCCACATCCACAAAATACTACTTTTATTTCAAGTGTAGTACTGAGAGGCTCTAGTGAAGGACTAAGATGGGATTTCCTCAGCCCCTGGAAATAGGGACAGACACTCATTCAGTGGAAAGCAGCACACAGAATCTAGCCATTACAAGTAATGACCACTGAAGCACTGAGAAGTAGATGTCACTGGTACAGGTGTCCTCACTGCCAGTAGTACTGCTTGTGCAGTAGCAACTGGAGGGCCTTTGATCTAAGTGCTGCTGCCTGGGGCATGGATTATGCAGAAGCTTTGATCTCCCTGTTGGAAGCTAAAGTGTTGAGCCAAGACAACCCAAAGGGCCTTTGATGTGACTGTTGCTGCATAAGGCACCGCTTGTGCAGAGAGTGCTTCTGGTTGAAGAAGCTACTTCTTAAAGATGCTGACAGTGGCCTTGATTTATTGGCAGAAGAGACACACACACACATACTCTCTTCCAGGAAAGAGGTAAGCGGTGAAGGCTTCTCTAGTCTTTGGTGAGCCTGCCCACCATGAGAGACCCGAGTCAGAGGAGAACCACTGCCTTGCAAGTGGAAAAAAAAAAAAATCACCAGGGTTCTCAGTTTCAACCATCCCTTGCAGAAGGAAAGTTAAGACAACACTGTATTTTAAGGTTCCTCCTACACACTACATATCTAAAACAAAAACACAGACAGCTGTGAAGCTGTTCTCTGTAAACTAGAATGCAAGTGATGTTGCATCAGCGGAATTGAGCCAACTCCTGTATTACCCTGCATCATTGAAATGTCAGCCTGGTTACAGATTAGACAGAGTTCCCATCCAAAAACTGTAGTGTGTTAGCCAGAACAAAGGAGGTAATTCCTTTAAATAGTCCTTCCTCCAAACTTAGACTCTGAAAATTCATTCTGAATGTCCAGATTTTCAGTTTATTTACCCTATCTGTGCAAGTCCTAGAGAATCTGCAGGCAGGGCCTCCTACACACTGGTTCTAGAGAACTAGAGGTTCCTTTGCTGGAAGCTGCCTCATACCCCATTCCCAAGGAGGAACCCAAACAATGGAAATAAAAGTCTGTTGAAGATAAAATAGGAATCTAAGGAGGACGGAAGATACCAGAAGGGTAAAACAAGGATGCATAATACATGGGATCTCAGTTTTATGGATCTTCCCAAGCAATCAACCTATACTCATGCAAGCCAAGAAAGAGACTTATGAATTCTAACAAAATAGCACCCATGGCCTGTGTGGGTGGGAAGTTGTTTATATCTAGAAAACAGACATGCTCATGTATTTTACTAGCATTCTGTAGACTGTATTGCCAATGAACTGGCACTTCAGCTCTTACCTTTTCATGAAGGTGACCATATACATGAGGCGAGGTGTACAGATCATTGGCTGGTCTGTAAGGATAGCTCTCATAGCCTGCTTCACACAGTATTCTGGTTTCAAGGGTGGAAGGAAAGGCTCAATTTCTTTCCTGAAATATTTAAGATAGATTAGTAAGATACATAAAGGACCACAGACCTCAATGAAGAGTTCATTAACTCACTTTCTTTGGAGTGCCTCAGCAGGGACAAAAATGTCACTTTTTTTTATATTCACTGTTAAGTTACAAAGACTATAGCTCAAAACTTGAATTGCCTAAGTAGAAAAGGACAGAAGACACAGTAAATTCAGAAAGTCTCTTCTCCGAGTCTAATGCTAACATATATTAAAGCAGATACAATACTTATTTTAATATTTTTATAGTAACAGTTTAGTTACCTTCAAGTACTTTTATGACAGTGCAAACACAAAGCAGAAGGAGAATTTTACTCACCTGATCCTGCACCCTCTAAACATTCCTGTATCTACAAGATAAGGGCAGACTAAAGTTGTTTTGATTCCATCCTTTTCAGCAGCCTTCAATTCATGGCTCAAAGACTCATGGAAACCTACAGCTCCAAATTTGCTGGCGCAATAATCCTGTGTTGGCAATGAACAAAGAAAAAAAGGCAACTGAAAAAGGACAGATATGAATCATGTTCAAAACCAAAGCACGTCTGAGGTGAGCCTGCACAGATTTTCAAAGCAGTAACAAAAGACACCCACTGAATAGAGCATCACATCAACTCATTTATCACTTTACTTCTAAGGCAATTAGTACAGAATCATGAAAGCAGGAAAGCTGAATGTAGGAGGATATTACCTTGGATTCAAGTCTTTGAATCAGGCAGGCTCACATGGCAAGTTACTCCAATTACCAGTTTGCTTAATAATAAATGTTACAACAAAGGAATGAGATACCCAATACTACCTTGGGTCAGATTTGAAAAAGCTTGGAGAGTTGGCAGGGCATAGGTGTAAAAATACTAAATGCTTTATTTTTAAGGTTAGTTTCAATAGAAGATATAATGGAGATTTGAGTGCATTATTTAATTTGCAGAAAAGGATATAGCTTGTAGCTCTCATAAAAATACTAAGTTCAGCAACATTAAAAAATAATTGCACAGATAGTAGTAGCATTAGAGTTTTCCATTGGATGTGTCCACATCTGCTGGTGGTCACACCCACAGTCTAGGAAATTCTTTGTAGTTTTCTCAAGACAGTAAATACTGTAAAAGCCTGAAGTTACACCAGCTTCATCCATTTCTGTTATGAAACACTGCAGCTTAAGGTCTTGGACTGAGCCTTACATATATGCAAAGCAGCCTATGCTTATGGGGTAATATGACCATTATTCCATTAGACACATTAATTCATTTTCACTAACTCAATGCTTTTTGTTCACACTTGCATTTGTGCTAACGACCCAAAAAGCAAGATAACAGGCTCTAATTCTAACCTAGTTTTATGTACCAAATAAGTCCCACAAACTGATGTTCTCAAACAGCTGCTAGCAACTAGACAAGCTAACACTTATAACTGAGAGCCTAGTAAAGCAGGTGAGCCATATATTCTGGAAGGAAAGCTGGCAGCCATTTCCTCACAGAAACAGGAAACATTACTTTTGAAAATCCTTGCCTTTGGCTTCAAGCTTAGCACTGAAGATCTTGACAGGAGTAGGTAGGTGGCCACTTTTCAGGTTCCTAAATTTATCAGGTAATTCAAAGATCACTTAGCATTCTGAAATCCTTAGCCATCCTAGGCTTTCACTGTAAGTGGCAAGTCCACCTGCCAAGTAGGTGAATACGGTGGCTGCCCAAGTTCCGTGGATCCCACTCCCAGGGAGCCATGTGTTGATATGGTACTCGACACCATAGCTTCCAAGTATCTCTGAAGATTTGACTTTATTTTCTCTAGCTGATAATACAAAACAAACTTATCCTAAGCAAGAAGTGCCAAATTTGTTGTTATAGTCTAACAAACCTCCACTCCAGCAGTACTGAACAGTCCCAAGGAACTTGCAACTGTCACGATGTGTCCATGATTCATTTCCAGCATCTTGGGAAGGAATGCCTTAGTGGTCTACAAAGTGGAAAAAAAACCAACCCAAAATAAAAAACCACACCACAAACATAGTATATTAGTGCTAAGTGTTCAAAACCTCTCAGTTTATTATCAAGAATTTAGAAGCACGGTCACTGTACAGGTTTTGAACTTCTGAGTTTGTCAAAAATGCCAACAGAAAATCTACAGCTTGTTTGTGAATTCAGACAGCAAGGCAGCAAGGATTATATCTCCAGAAATCCTAAGGTTAAAGGATCAATTGAGCTCAGACATGTTTATTTTTCGGCAAGAGACTAGTTATCAGAAAGAGATAATTTGACCCTAAAATGGAAGTCACTTTTTTTAAAGAGAGAAAAAGGAATGCAAAGTGTTTAATTACACCATCCAGCACATCTGTGTTAAGACCAGTGCCGATTATCAGTTCTAATTATTGACAGTGTGTTTTGTAAGTTAGATATGGCTAGTTTTATCCAATTAACTTACCATCATGGCCATTTTACATTAAAAGAAATATTAGATGCAGAGCTTTTGCTGATGTTACTTTTTACATCTAATAAACATCTGCTAGTCTAAACTACTTTCCATCTTTATTAGTATCCATAAGCATTGCTTGAACTAAAAAGACAAGATATAAATTTCTATTATCAATTCCTTCTCAAAATAAAGCAAAATAAAACAAAAGCAAGTCTCAAGATGAAACTTTGATTTTAACCTCCAGTTTTTATGTTTTGATTATAACAAAGTTTGTTTCTGTTTAAAAACCCAAGTCAGAGTTAACACCTTTAAAAAATTAAATTTTAAGGAATAAATTGAAGGCATTTGCTAGAAGATCACCCCTGCTAGAATACCTACCTTTGCCATATCTGTTTTCTGAAGCTGACTCAACACTTTCCTTTTTTAAATAGGTATTAAGCAGAGCACCATATATGCTGAAAAAATCAATGCAGTAGTAAAATGGTACGCGTAGTTACAATTTACTTCAGCTTCTAGGTTGTCAGTGTACTATACGAGATCACTTTTAAATTGCCAAAGAACTTCATACAATGCTTTTTGATCACAAACATGCCTAGTTAATATATAAATCTGTTAATGACAGAGCCATTATTCTGTTCTAATTCACTCAGTATCATGAATGTTTAATCCTTCCAGAAACCTGGTCTTCCCATGTAATTTGGATCCAAACTCAGAGCGTGCAAATGCCCCTTAAGTATTTGCTACTTGCTTAATTGTTGGTTTGAGTTGTGTCAGCTGCATTCTTAAAAAGACATGCAAGCTACAGCTGAATCCATCTAATTCCATTCTTATGCTGTCTGCATTTTCCAATCACAGACGTCAGGACAGTTTTGCTCTAATGATTTTCACATGTTCTTGTACAACATTTTTGCCTGCAGGTGTTAAATGACTAATCCAGACCTCCTAACACCACACAAAAGAGTGTTTTCACTGGACAGCTGGCAGATGATAGAAGATTAACAGACCTCCTGACTCCTTGCCTTTTCTACTGTTGATTCATACAACTCCTAGATTCTGTCATAACTGCATAACGAAGCCAATTATAAAAAATAATCTGAGAGCAAGCTGCCTTGCATTTGTTTCTTGCCTCATGGCAGGGATCTCTAAACCTCTTATATAGAGCCTTGGACAAGAATTTAGTTCGCTGTTAAACTAATCTGTGCCAGGCACACAAAGTTTCAGCCTCTCTTCCCATGTTGCATGGCAACAAAGCCCAGTCATCACAGGGCAGCACGGTCTCAAAAGGTAAGAGGCTTCACTTGGACGGCATTGAAGTTTTACACTGTGTTATTTACCTGCAGCCTGCCTTATGCACCCCAACATTGACAGTGTGTGTTAGCCCTGATCCTCCATGCTATCCCTGCAAGAGATCCATGCTCCCAGTTCAGTCCTGCTAACAATTTACTCCCCTCCAGAGCATTAGTCAGCTCCATCAGCAGTTTCCACTTATCTCAGTTATCTGTCCACATCACATCGGAATGACTGATTGCTACCTCGCATTGCCAGAAAACTTGATAATGCAGACTGCAGCTCTAGCTGCAAACCACAGCAACTACAGAAATGATGGGGCACTCGCCTTGGAGTTTGTCTTGGGGGAGAGAAGGAAGGGAAAGCAGCAGCAATAGATTTTTTTTTTCCTACCACTTTCAAGGCATAAATAAATGTTTTCTTCCAAGGGATAAACAACAGGCAAGTGCACCAAGCTTTGTTGGATTGGCTTTTCTATTATCTATACTATAGCACTGCCTTTTTTTTTTTTCCAAATATGATGAACTATACCTAGGTGTCTATAAGCATCTATATTTATCTATGGCTGAAGAAGAGAATTTTCACAGGCATATATATAGGTATGGGAAATAACCAGAACAACTGCAGAGCAGTAAATTTCAGAAGGCCCACTCAACTATGCTACACGCTTTCCAAGCATAAATATTACAAAGACTGAGTTTTCAGAGCTTGTGACTAAAGTAACCCATTTTCAACCAAGATGACGTTGGCACACGATGAATAAACCCTGTTGAGGACAATTTTGGGTGATGTCTTCAGCAATTCAAGTGCAGAGCGAACAACTCCCATCAGCAGAACTACAGCCACTTCATGTAAGTCAAAACTTAAAAGGCCATTTATGGCCACATAGGAAAAAAACACAGCTCTTCTGCTTTGAAGACAATTAGCAATTCATGGAAATCTTTGCGTGAGACCTCAGTGTTCTGAAACAGCCTGTTCAGAGCAGGCCCCTGTACTTTGTCATGGGACATTATCCCACAAATCCATTTCAAACCTGAAGCTGAGGCAGCCTATAAAGATAGCACAACTATCATATGTAGAAAACTTAGCAGTCAACTATCTACATCTCAGCTAAATGGATATCGGAGAAAGTCATCTCAGTTGCTGCCATCCTCCAGCCATCTGCAACAGCTGGGAGTCAGTACTCGAAAACAAGCACAGTCAGAGGCAGACACACCCTATGGGGGGACACATTTCCAGTCTCAGAGTAAAGGCTTGCCCACTGCTCCTCCCAGCCTCCTCTTGCTGGGAAAAACAATCCCAAAGTGAAGTTATTCTCTTTCGTGGTATAAGCAATCCCCAAATAAATCAGTGTTCTTACTGAGCTTCTGGCACAGCCCACTTCCTTAATCAAAGCAGCTTCCTCCATACTCTGGTCCCCAGTTTTTCAGCCTGTTACATAAACCAGATGAACCTAGTTTCTTTTTTCTAGTTTCTTTCAGCTTCAGCTACATCTGCCTACCAGACCTGAAGTCTTCTGTGTGCTTGTTGTGCTGCTGAGAAACTAGTTAAGAGTTTGACCGGTTCGGGGCAAGATGCCTCCTGGGTGGCCTTCCCATCTGGAGTTTGTCTGAACAGGTAGCACAGCCCACATTAGTCTTCTGAGATGATGCATGGACATGCTAATCCTCCATAAAAAAAAAGTGTTAGAAGATACCAAGCAATGTGTTTTGTCCATGGCATTAGAGGTCATGAACCAGGCACCCAGAATAATTCAAATCAACTCAAGTGATTTAATCAAACTATCTGCCTTCTGGTTTGATCCTTTAGTCAGTTTTACCTCTCACAGCTGCAGAGGAAGACAGTTAACCAAAACATTTAAGTACTTAAAGTCAGAGCTGGGTCTTTTATTAATGACAAACATAACACGCTTTTCAACACTGAGGAGAAACCACCAAGTAGAATATAGTGGATGAAAGGAATTGTGTTGTGATGCATCAGGATGAGGAATCAAGGAAGTTACACAGTGTTAAACATCAAGAAATTTAAGTTAAGCATCCTCTTCACTCAGAACTAGCTTTTGCCTTTTTTTTTTTTTAAGAAAAAATGAAAACCCCCAAAGTATAGTGCAAACATGCATTTTCTAACCTGCAGTATAGTTTAGATACAGCAACTAGGTAGGAGAGAGAGAACATACAAAATCTTTCTGAACAGAGAGTAGAGCTAGTTTTTCAAGCTAGTTTAACCTTTAAGTTTTTTGGAACCTAGAGATCAATTTCTAATCTTCTAGGCATTTTCCTCTATGCTTCTGAATATACCAGTAAGAACAAACTATTCCCAGTAGCTGTAACCAAACATCTATTTCATGTGCACACAGCTTTAATGACTTATTTCTCACAAGTGTGAAACTGAACAAGCACTTACATGTCACTTCATAGCTTTCATAATCTGTTCTCAACATTTTGGTTTACGGCAAATTAACTTCTAACAGTCTAGCACTTCTTCCCTCCCCTTCCCCAAATTCTTTAGTTCCATTCTTAATGAAACAAAACTCAAAAGATTGTGCAACACAAAGAACAGCACAGCTGCAATGTCAAGACAAATTAGTCTAAATACAGCAAATGAGAATATGAAGAAATACTGTTTGGGAAAGTGATTTTTTTAATTAAATTTTGGATTAATTATTCTTAAAGAAGAGAGCAAGCATCCACAGAAAACAATGTTAGCTGTATGCAGCTCAAGACAATGGATACTGAATGCAGAAAGCACACCAAAGTAGAAAAGTACGTGCTACCTCATGTTTAGAGAGTTGTCTTTATATCAAAGAAAGAAATAAAGCAGGTACCAACATGTAAGGTCCTTTAAGTTTCTATTTTTCAATACAGTAATTTTTTTCATACTTTCTGCCTTCTGTCAATGTTCAACAGCCCTTTTAAACTGTTTTGATGGCATAAACAAGCTACTTTACTGTAAGGCAGAAATTCCTTTATGCCAGAGGAATAGCTTATTTTCCATACAGTCCCTTCAGGTAAGGAGGGTGGAGCATGGTTATTTTCCTGGGGCTGATCAGAACAGGTGAGTTTTTACATCATTATAGTTATTCACAACAGTGGTATACTGGTATAACAGATAAGACACTTCCTCCTAAGCCACAGCTATTCCTGACTGCCAAGACAGCTGCATAACAGCGCAAGTGAGTGCAACATCTGGGTAAGTGTATTTTCACCTTTGTGTTGAACTCTATTTGGCCAGACCCAAGAAACAACATTGGTGTGATC